TATTACGTATGGATAGGTACTCGAGTTACTTTCAAAATTGAACGATAAATAATACATTCCGATGACTTACGAATTCGATATTATAATTTGCGGCAAATACGCTTTGTGGTTTATAGGTTATGTATATAATAGATTCAAAAGAGTAAAATTTTAAATAGAGAAAATATACTTAAACACTTATTATATTTGCAACACGGAATTATATAACTATTAGAACTATTAATGTAATATAGTATAATAAAGTCAAAATAACAGTATACGTACAGGTCCGTTATGATTATTATTGAGTTTCGGACAGTTACTGAGTTTATATAAATTCAAGTTCACCATTTTGAGTATAACATTAAAGTTGTTTAGTTATACAACGATGTATTTTTTGTTATCTCGGAAAATACTTTTATACGATAAGATGTTCTGATTTTTCTTGTCAGATGTGGCCAAACGGGGGGGAGGTGATATATCCCTGCATTACCCTATTTTTCATAAATATTTATAATTATAAAGTAAATTTAAGTATTTAATTTTACCATGAAAATAGAGTGGGATATGTACGGTTAAATTATAGGTACATAAATTAGAATTTCGATTTTTAGAATTTGTAAATGTAGCGAGACGATATTTTCGAATACTTTAATTTTTCCTATTATAATCGAAATTAAAACGAAAAGTTTTTGAATTATTCTACTAAAAAATTTTAAGATTAATAACGGCACGGTTTAAAACAAGTTCTACTAAGTTCTACTTAGTTGTAAAAATAAACTAACTTCTCACTTATAACAGTTGCACGCCAATTAGCAATTCCTATTAGCTCTTTTTGATTATTATTGTTTTTGATTTCTGGATTACTTTGGAAACAATGGAAAAAAATACGATTAATACTCCGCTTAGAATCGGGATTTTTAGTTTGAAATAATTTAACGTTATATACCAGTACCATAAAGAAACCAAATTACCCTGTATATTTTACCGTCCCGATTTCAACCCACTTACAAGTTGCCTATTTGTAAGCAGTGTCAACTCTTTAAAATTCGTTTGGACTAAAAATTAATACATTAATTTCGAATTTTGTTTGTCGTTAGTTCGTTACAGCAGATAACTATGTTAAAATAAATTATTATTATTACTTTGTTGAATCACTGTGTGGAAATATTATTAATAAGATTAATGACTGATTTTATTTTATGTAATTAAAATAGTATGTAGGTGGAATTATTTTTGTTTTTGGTCATTAGTTCCATATTCGCTATACAGTTGAAAAATCTTAACGAATCATATTGGTATATTTTAGTAGAAAAGATAAAATGTACCTAAAAATAATAATTTATTTTTGAATAAAACGAAACAAAATCTATCAATCAACGATTACAAAATATCAGTTTGATAATTTTTTTTTCTTTTAATTTAACGTAATACGAATACGTAGGTATACCTTACCTTATATACCTATCATATTATGTATATGTATCTATATGATAAAATGGGCGTAGAGAGGTAAACCGAAACGATTAATTTCGCATCGTTATTTTTTATACGAGTATTATTATAGGTACATAATATAATTTATACTAATCAGGCCGTCACGTTATTTTTTATTTTTTCAATGTGCGGCTGCACTTCTAAGGGTATAGATAATATACGATCGCGATGAGAGGAGGAGTTTGAACGTAATAATAATGCGTGTATGCATGTGTGTTCGTGTTTTATAAATAAAAAAAAAAAAAACAAATTAAGAAGTTTTTAATATAAGAAATATTATTATGTTTCGAGACGAGACGGACCGACGCCCGCGGATATTATTCATATCCGAAACGTTAAATTTTAGGACCGAACGATCTAAATACCTATACGGCTATACCTATCTATATGTTATTATAAAATTAGGAATTATTGCATCACTAGGCTCGAAAGAGATAGAGTCGTTATTATAATTTTAATATTAACATTGAATGTATCGCGCCGAATAGTCTGCGCGGGTTATCGCTGTTGCAGATGAACGGGTCCAAAAACTACGAGTTCATCGCACGTTAGCGAACTCGTTTTTGTGTTGTGTATTTACGAAATGTATGCGCGTAATAGGAGTAAAAAGACGGACATACTTCGTGTATGGGTGGGCTTTCGTTGTAGGTGAGAAGTTGGGAAGGTAGGATATAGATGGGAATTTAATGTACATCTGTAAGCAACGAAAAACCATTGCTAACGTAAAAACGATTCTGAGCGGAGTTTAGTTGATAGTGTTACTTTGTCAACAATATATACATGCCATAATATGGTAAAATAATTACACATGCATTATGGTATATTTTCTTTAATAATATTTTGTTTGATATTGTAAATCGGAGTAATATTTTTGGTAGAAAAGTTGTTCACAGATAAAAAAATTGAAAAATAAATAAATATCATTGTAAAATTATAAGCTTCTTCGCTCCACTCAGAATCTAAAATAGATTTTCGATTCTCGGACGAAACATGTCGTGAAAAATATATTTGTACCCAAACAATAAAGTAAAACACGGCAGGAGAGTGAATATGAAGGAAATTAGAATACTATATTATACTACAGATAAGGTTAAAAGAAAATAATTAATAATGAAATAATAAAGTAAAAACAAAATTATTAAAATAGTTAATACTCGTAAATACATAAAGTAAATAAATATAATAAATAAAAATGTATGTATAAAAATAAAATAAATAAATTAGTCAATGCATCGCCTCGGAGTATTATGATAAGTATATTATTCGACCGGTTTCGAATTAAAAATTCATCATCAGGTACCTCACAGTAAACATGTAAAACGCAATGTAATGTAATATTTTAGATACGGTCAAACTAAAGGAGACTGCGACGGGATGTACGTGGGATACATTAAAATCCACTACTATACGAGTAGTGCTGGAGAAGAACCCAATTGGGAAAATTACTTTTGGAAAACCCAGGATGAAATGGACAGATTTAGACAAAATGATGAGGGACTGTGGATAGTTTAGGAGGTGGACCAAGATGAACGATTTTGCTTATAGATAGAGATAGCCGAACGATTGGTTGTGGGACGGGATGGTCTTAGAGGTCAAACTAACCAAAATAACAATAATAAGTAAAAGTAAAAATTCGTTGCAAACGAAAACGACGATGAACTAGCGTAGATAGGTTCAACCTTTGAAGCATGAAACAAACGTTTAGTCTGATATTGCTGTATGTATAGAGACTTGCAAGGTCTCGTATTGCTTATATACAAATTTAATAATATAGATAACAAAACCACAAACATGGTCAACGGATAGGGATTGTATTCTACGATTCCTCCATCGTAGTGAGCACGTCCATACAAATGCACCGTCTAGACAAAATTTTACTTACAGAAATCACTTGGCTCGAAGTAGATGGTTGGAGCAAGTATAAGTCCAAAACTTTTTCGCATGTAGTGTACAAGCTAAATAATATATGAATGTCTCATTGGACTGGTTACGTGGCTTGGCGCCAGTGAGTTTTTCGGCGGTGGTAAGGATAAAAACTCGTAGTGTTCCGATTTCGATGGGTTTTTTTTTTTTGTTAAAAAGAGAAAGACTTCCTACAGACCGCATTGAATACCATTTTCAATATTTTTATCAAAACATATATAACACCGACAACGGATCCCTTAAGACTAAAACGAGAGGGGATACAACCCTCTAAATTTTGAACAAATATTAGCTTATAATTACAAATAATCACGATTTTTTTTTACAAGTAATGTAAACCAATTTTTTTTATCGAGTTTTCTCCAAAAATAAAGACAGTATATATTTTATCTTTTTCCCATTACTTTTGAACATTTAAAGTGGCTCCCTGTGGACCAAATTAGCTTAAATTCGGGAATTCGAGTTGTTTTATAAGTGGATTGAAGCGGTTAAAGTTGGTTTGAATTTAAATATGAATTTAATCATGCTGTTTCAGGAGGAGAGTGTTTTTAACACTGAGCACCTCTACAGGACCCCAAAATGAAGCCAGAGAGTAGTATTTTGTAAGTTATGCATCGTGTAATTATTACGGACTTGATTCTTGAGGGTTTTAACTTTCAAACCCTTCACGACAATTCTCATACTAAAATTTCATAGTTTCACAGAAAATACAGCGTTTTTAAAAAATTAATTCAAATATAATTTTTCTTCATCCCTGTGAACTATATTTATAAAAAAAAAAAACAGAATTTGATGATCTTTATTATCTCCGGAGATATTCAAGGGGTATATATTCGTGGGACAGCGTGTATTGGTATACCGGTGGACTGTGGAACGAAATAAAATTTTGTGGCAAACTTCTATTATGTTACAGGTTAGGTACCTGCTATTTGCGTTTTTTTTTTTTTTTTTTAATTACAAAACCGATGCCGCGTTTCGAATAATTTCCGTGTATATTTTATCGTAACATAATATAATACTATTATAGCTATTATTATTATTATTAATGCGCGCTCGCGCTCCTATAGGCCGTAGGTGTACGAAATTAACCGGTCAAAAAAATAAAATAAAAAAATAAAAAACTAAGCAGGAGGATGGAAAAAAAAAAAACGATAATACGATCTTCTTGCGCGCGTGTTATAATATTATAATAAATACAGCGGCGTCGTCACGTGGACCGCGGTCGAATGTCATTAACCTCTGCACGCGGGACCGTGGCCGAAGACCGCCGCGGAGATTGCATAATACCCACTCGTTTTTTTTTTTTTATTTTTTTTGTCCACGATGCACCGCCGTCGATTTCCTACCATACCTGCATCCTGACTGTATAATATATATATACACAATATTATTATAATATGTTCTTTCGGCCAAAATATTATAACGATGCAACTTAATGGGCCTACCCATACGCATTGCGTACACGTAATAATGTAATATTTATCGAGGGAAGTGGTTTTCCCTACCCAAGAAATGATGCATCTCCTCGGGATGCACGTCGTACGTGAACTTGTATAAGATTATGAGACGACGTATTGTACTGTAAATAACCTTGGCCGTGAGTTTTTAACCGTGGTAGCGCAGTATAAATAGGCTCGACAGGAAGAAAGTGAAAACAATAATCTTTCTCCCATCGTCGTCTGTTTAGCTCTAAAAAAAAAAAATAAAATAAATAAAATTATGACGTTCTTAAAGAAAACACTACGCTGTACAAACACGATGGAAATTCTACTGGTGAGTAATATAATACGTATTTTTTTTGTGATTATTTTTTATTCTTCAAAATATATTTCGTATTTATCCTCGCGTCGTTACCCGCGAGTATATCTATTATAATTTTCGTTATTATACGTCTGCCGTTGATGTTTTTTTTAAATTTTCGAGTACTTTTGAAGTATTTAAACGGATACTGTTGGTAAGTTGTATGGTATGGGCGCACGTCGATCGTGCGAACGGTTTGTGGACGATATTTTAAAATTGTCGTAATCGTTCAAGAACAATAGAAAAACGTTTTTATTTTACCGATTTGTCCGATTGTTGTACAAAAAACCATTCAGGAACATATCTGATTATATCGGATTTATCTAATTGTTGTCTTGAAATTCCCACTGTGCTTACCCGTACATCGGATCCCATCTAATTTTCACATCCGTATATAAGGGATACATAGAGCATTTTGTTTTTTTTATATTATGCTGCCAAAAGTGAATTGGCCACCGAGGCCTTGCTATTATTATTTTAATTTTTATTGTTGAAATGTGTAGACCAGGAGCAAAATCCGATAAGTAAATCACCGTGTGCTTTTTTCCCCCTGTTAGTATACGAATTTCCTACTAGAAATCTTGCTTCGATTATTAACTTTAGAGAGTTTCCGATGAAAAATCGTGTCTATTTGGTGCAACGAGGAGGTCATTTTTAATTTTTCTTGCAATTTTCTTAATAATTGAAATAAACTGAAGGAAAAAACGTAGGCAAAACTAGACAATTTATGTGACAACGGTTTCTGTTATTTTCGAAATTGTTTTTCATTGTAGGAATAATTTTCAAAACATTTTCGAGTTATTTATAGCCAAATTTAAATTGTCAAGGTTTTTTATTTATATTGTATTTTAGATTTCGAACGTAGTGAGGGAGCTATTGGTTTTACAATGCTGTTTATTTCTTTTCTTTCTTCTTTTTCTTTGTTTTAGTCTGTTGACACGTTTTCTCCTAGTAAACTTGCTCTGATTTTTTTGTGTAGCAACTTTTCTGAAAGCTCAAGTTGTCTATATGGTACTTTATAGAAGTCACTTTTTTTTGATTTGCGACGCTAATTTTTAAATAAAAGCACTTAAGTGGAGAAAAACGTAGGAAAACGTACAATTTCACGATTTCATTATTTTATAAAAATACGGATGACGTTTTATATTAAAAAAAATGATTTAATCGAAAAATCACATGACACCCTTTTTTTTTTATTTATTTAATTTATTACGGTATCATTTCTAAAACTTTTGAGCCACTTTTGAACTTTAAATTTTTTTTTTATTTTTGGGAGTTTTTTGTCGTAATTCAGTTATAAATACACGTAGGAACGTTTAAATTTGGTAATAATACTTATGTTAAACTTACCTAGACGTTTTCAAAATCATTGGACGACTTTTTTTTTTAATATGCGTTTTGAAGTAAAAATTAAACGAAAATTGCAAAGAAAATTACGATACTTAAAATTATGTACTATCAAGCAATAATTTATCGTTGCTTACAGGTATAAATGAAATACCCATATGTATCCTACCTTCCCAACTTCTTACCTCCAACAGTGGCCGCTCCCATCCCCATTATCGGCTCTTTTCAAGTGTTTTGTAAAATATCTATAGACAAAAATAAATGAAAAACAAAGTATTCTATATATTTAACTTTTGTACTTTTACCCGCGAAAATATATTAAAACTGGTCTACTTAAAAATTTGCATCCTTGAAAAAAAACTATTCAAAAGAAGTCCCACTTCACTAAGACAATAAATGGCGTATATTGACTTTAACTATACCTATATCATATCTTCCATTTTCAATTTTCAGGGACAGCGACTGATCTGAACCGTCTGTTGTAATATATTATATAATATAGACATATATCATTATAGCGGACGAGGGTAAAGTGGTATACTACCAATTATTTTTTTATAGTGTTGATTTTAATAATAATTAAGTCTTGAGATTTTATTTTTACGTATCTATAGTTAGAATTTAAAAAAAATAGAGCTGATACTAGCTGATGGGTGCGCCACATAGGTGGGTAATTTAAAAGGTAGAATATATAAAGTTCTTTGATTTATGTCTGTAAATAACGATTGACTATTGCTTACGAAAAACGATTCTGAAAAATGTTTATACACGATTTGTAAGGTCGTTTACGAATTTACGATTTTCATCAGAATTTGATTTCAATACCATTATAAAAAAAAATTACTGCACCACCCTCTGATTTTTTTTGGACCCTAAGTACAATTTATAATGAATCCCCTGTTAAATTTTCATACATTTCTGTTTTGCGAAACAATAATATTCACATATAGTACTTAATAAATAAAAACTATATAAAAAAACCCGTAACCATAAAATGTCTATAAATTGTTCAAAAACGGCTCAAATTTCTTTAAAGTTTCACTACGTCTTGGAAAGGTTAATATCAGTTTTTATCAAAATTTTAAGTCTTTATGAATATTTTTAATTGAATTAAAACAATAAAACTATATTAAAAATAATAAGACTATTATTTTCTTTAACTTTTCCATTCTTCTACGTTTTTTTCATTTAGTTTTGCTCAATTATTAAAAATACTGCATAGAAAATCAAAAAGACAACTTTTTAATTCACCAACAAGATTCAAAATTAAACAAAAAAGGTCTCTCGACATTTTTTGATTAAAGGAATATTTCTGGTAGAAAACACAGCTCGTAAAAATTAAAAACATCAAAATCGTTAACGTCGTGGCACACCGTAAATATTTGACGTGTTTCCTATATTTTTGTTTTCGATTTTTCTCGAATATTTTTAAAACCTCTCAAAAATCAAAAAAATGACCTTTCTAATGCACTAATCAGATAAAATTTTCTTTCAGAAAAGACACTCGATACCACTACATCGGGACAATATTTCTTTTCGAAAAGTTGTTTACAGAAAATACACACATCCATAATAAAACCAACAGATTCCTCGGTCCGTTCCGAATCTAAAAACGAACACTTTCTTGAAGGAACAAAAAAACTGGTCTTTTATTTCGTGTTTTTAGGACGTTAATAAAATATATTATATTATAATAATATTATTGCACAAGAAAATTAATTAATTTGTAAAGAGTATATATGTATAGCATACAAGACGACGGTGTTAAATTCGTGTAGGTAATTGTTGTTTATTCATTTTTTTTTTTTTTTTTTAATTAACGTGATCTTTTACCCGTATTCATAATATTTACTCGCTACCAATATCGTCGAATCACGATCAACGATACGGTATAGTAATTAACTTGTTGCGCGTAAACTCGTCGGTATAGATATACGTATACTCGTCCCGTTTCGGACTTATCCGAAACGGCGTTAATTATAATCTTCGGACATTAACGTAATAATAATTACACGCGAGCGACCGTTTAGAGTGGAAAAATCAAGACGCGCGTGGGTGTGACTTTTTGTCTTTACAAACAGGTAGGCATGCGCGCCGCGACGATATAATTTTAAACTATGACGAGTCAATAGCAGTAATTACAATGCAGTCTTATAACCCGTGTTATAAGGTCGGTTATATGGTACAGGGTGTTTCGGTTTAAGCGGGTACACTCAACATCTCGGAAAGCGTTAATCGTTTTTGTTTTTGTTTTTTTTCGGAATTTGTTTTGTAGAACGTTTAAGAAACGAACAGCGGCTGTTGCGGTGTTGCGTTTGTGTTATTTTCCGTCACCCTAATTTTCGTGAGTAAAACCACGGTAGCTACTTTTGATTTTCGAACGGCAAACCGTATTCGAACATTCCGTAAACAAACGGAGGATTGGTTAAAATACGTTTTTGGCGTTGACATTTTCGATTTCCGTCGACCCGTCGTCGGGACATTCATTACGCTTTCAAGTTTTCGTCGGGTAAGTGTGGCGGAGCATTGTTCGCGGTGTTTCAACAATGCTTTAAAAGTGATAATGATCGTATCCGCTTCCTAACGGAACGTCCTGTGTTCCCCTGTTCGCCATGTCGTACCCGGTGGCGTATTTGTCTTGGCTTTATGGGAGGGTGGGGAAAAACTAAAATTATTGTGCACAGGGTATACCAGATGATCCATTTAAGCGGGGGGTACACTCGTCATCTCGGAAAGTGTTAATCGTTTTTGTTTTTTTTTTTTTTTGGAATTTCTTTTCTAAAACGTTTAAGAAACAAACTACTCTACAATTTTATATTTACGTTATTTTTTGTGACCTTTATTTTCGGGAGTAAAACCACTATTCACTTTTGATTTTCAAATGACAACCTGTATTAAAAGTTACATAAATAGATAGAGTATTAGTTACAATAAATTTGAGTGTTGACATTTTTGATTTCTGTCAAGTTGTTGACTAGATTTTTTACTTTTAAGTTTAGGTTGGAGGAGAGTGGTAGTACATTATTAACATGCCGCGCGCCATACCGCCACACAAATGATATACCACTACTCTCTTTCAACCAAAACTTAAAAGTGGAATATCTCGTCAATGGATCGAAGGAAATCAAATATTTCAACACTAAAATTTCTAAAATTGTTGGTTGTTTCTTAAATGTTCTAGAAAACAAATTTCGAAAAAAAGTCAATACTTTCCGAGATAATGAGTGTACCCATCTAAATGGACCGTCCGGTATACAAAAGCTTATATTCTACCCTATTTATCTTAGCATGAAGTGTTTTTATTTTTATTCTTGTGTCTGATGACATTTTTTTAGCAATATTAAATTTGCGTACATGTGTATGTGTATAGCATATGCCTACACAAATTAATTGATGGGGACGATCGCCCCCCCCTCCCCTCAAACACGCCACTGGTGGTACCACTGTGTACGCGCGTCGGTTATTTGTTTATTTTTTTTTTGTTTCGTTCGTTTTCAGAAATGCGTGTTGACGGGCTTGCTCGCCACATGTCTGTCGGTGTCGGCCGCGCCGGAACCCTCGAGACTGTTGGCGCCGACGTTGAATTTCGCGCAGACGAAAAGCGCGCTGCAGCCGCCAGTGGTCGCGCCGGACGGACCGGTAAAGCCCGCGGTTGACGTCGTGCCGATATACTTGTACGCCAGAGAGAATTCGCTGGACGGCGATTACAACTTCAGGTGAGCCAATCGAAATCGCGTTTTGATCTGCCGGCGATGACCCCGCGGCGGTTAAGCCATCATTTGAGGGATTCAGACTATACACATAGGGCGGCCATATATTTATTTATTTTTTTTTCTTCTGGTCCGTATGAAATGTTATAATCGGGTCGTTGTTGATAAAATGTAAAATGCAAAAGGTAATCGAACCGCACTGTCAATGGCCGCCTCTACCGGTGTCCGACTGTCTACAGTGACGCGAGAATGAGACAATTCCCGTAGTCAAGTTGCGCAGAGAAAACGATTTTGTGACTTTTTTATTTGCTACATCCCCTCCCAGTGAAATTTCCTGGACATCGATGACGCGACAATAAAAAATATTGACACGAGTTTTTGTTTTTTAATTCTATTTTATTAACTGTTAAATCACCGACGCGTTTGTTCAAATAGCCGATCATTGTTAAAGTTTGAATAATATCACTTGTATACGTCACGAATGTTGGATGCCGACGTATGTACTCTGCACAGTAATTTAGATCAATTTTCTGCGGTAAATTATGTCCGATCGACGTTTATACATTTTATGAATTTAAGACTTCCATAAAAGGACATTTAAACGGTCTCAAAATCGAATTTCACTTCTCACACGTGATAAAACTATGGTATACCGGAAAATATTCGTAGTTTTGTTTAGTACATATATTTTAGCGATGAACATTTAAAATTGAGTTTTTGTTTTTTTTTTTTTGTAGATACGAGACCGGAAACGGTATTTTTGCGGAAGAACGCGGCGTCATGTTAAACAAGGGGACCGAAGACGAAGCAAATTCCGTGGTGGGCTCGTACAGGTACGTCTCGCCGGAGGGCGTGCCTATAGAAGTGACGTACACTGCAGGTGTGGACGGGTTCAGGGCCTACGGTGCGCATTTGCCAGTGAGCCCGCCGGCCGCCACGAATCTCCCAAAAAGTTTGTCTTACAAGAACGTTGCTCCCAGTGCTTTCGCCCAGTCGTCTCAGTTAAGAGCCTTAGACGAAACCGATTCATCAGTTGCTGTTTCTACGGGCACATCACAGGCTGCTTCTGTGGCGGAGTACCAGACGACGCCCGAAGTTCCTGCAGTGGTGTACTGGCCCACGCCCGAAGCGCCTGCCCCGCACAAGTTCACGTCAGAAGAGCCTGCCACGAACCAGCCCACATCCAAACCATCTGTCGTGTATCAGCCCACTCCCGAAGCGGCCAACAGCAACCAAGTGCAGTTTGCGGCGACCGGTCAAATGGCCGTTGCCGGGGTAGACGAAATCGATGGAGTAGCATCCGCGGTCGCGGCGCAAGGCCAGACACAGCAAGTATTGTACGTGGGTGGCAGCGACGGCGGCTTAGAGTCGACCGAAAAGCCGCTGCTTCAGGACCCCGTCAGGGTGGAACAACCGCAGCAGCTGCAGGATTCGTTCGTCAGGCCGGAATATTACCAGGGGGATCTGTCCGCCGCAGTTCCGGCCGTACAGCCACAAGCCCTGCCCGTCGAAAAAATCGAATCCGCCCTGCCGCCCGTCCTGCAGGCGCAGTCCGCCGTCGTTCCGGCCCGTCCAAAAGTCGCACCGGTCTTGCAAAGAGTCATGTACCAACCGCAGCCGCAACCGCAACTGCCGCAGCAGAAGCTATTCGGCGCGGGACCGGCACAGGCCGTCGACCGACAACAACCGTATTCCCAAACGTACCGCCAGTTCAGCATAGAGCCGCAGCAAATGTGGTACGTGTCGCCGTACCAACAACAAGGACGGCACTTGCAAACCGGTCCCGTGAAGCGAACGCTGGAGCCGCTCAAGTACAATTAGTGACCAACAGCGTCTACAGAACCGCATCAGCCTCACGTAGTTTATAAGATTTAAAATAATGTTTTATTTAATTTTTTTTTTTTTTTTTGATAAATTTTTTCACTGATTCACTTCTGCCTATATTTCGATATTATGTAATAAAATTGTATGCGAGATGATGACGACAGACCTTTTAATTTTCATGAATATAATATTATGCAATACGCGATCTCTTACATATCTCTTAAAAAAAAAAAAAGAAGCACCAACAGTAAACAACTCTCAATTTATCCTTTTATTAAATGTTAAGCCGTACCCTGTAACCGGTTAGGCCTTAAATCAAAAAACAAAAAATACTGTTAACCGTTATGAGCAATAATTTAGATTTAACGTTATACAAAATTTAAGTGTTAATTTTGTCTGTTTAAATGTTTATATAATTTCCTGTGCAATGTCAAAAATAATTTGAATGCTGTGCAGAATTTGTATTTAAGTATACTCTTAAAAATTACTAATAACAAAAAAAAATTTAAAACACGGATATTCTTTGCACAATGGGCGGATAACTGTTTTAAGTGCAAATTTGGAAAGTTAGAGAGGACATTAAATGTGTATCGGTACACAGAGATTGATCTTTGCTGACGAAAAACTATTCTGAGCGGAGTTCGATGACACATGTTTTGAAAAGCCGTGATATGAGTATTTACGATTTGGAAATAATACAACTTTTCCTACGTTTTTTCCCGGTTTATCCTATTTATTATAAAACCCCTGGGAAATCAAAAAAATGACATCCTTAAAGTAACACTCCAGTCAGATTTATTTTCAGAAAAAATGCCACAATTGAAATGAAATAGGAGCGAAATTGCTGGTAGAAAATTTATTTACAGAAAATGAAATAAAAAAATAAAAATAAACATCATTGTAAAACAAATACATTCCTCGCTCCGCTCAGAATCCAAACGAGGTGATACTGGTAATGGAAGTACCGATAAATCATCGCTAATTTTTTTTTATTGAATTTTTGATAGAAAGTTTGTTGATAGACGCAGACGGACAGCAAAAAAAAAAAAAAAAACAAAACAAAAATACATCATAGTACCTAAAATCAATACATTTACCACTCCGCTACGCTTATCTTCCTTGGAAATCTTGTATTATATGTATATGCGTTAAACAATTAATTATATATATATATTTGTGGAAGTAAAAACATTCGTATAGTCTGGGGGGAGGGAGGGGGCGAGACCCCCGGGCCCCCGGATCCACCACTGACGGGATTAAAGGTGTTCTAACTCTTCTAAGCTGTTCTAAAAACAACAATATTTATGTATTATCGTTATCAGCCGACAATGGTAATCCGTTGTTCTCGTATTTTATTTTTAGTGCGTCAGCCCACTAGAATTCAGTTAAAAGTTTATCGTACGATTCTAATCTGGACACGCAGTATACAAGCAAAAATCTTGGTCGTCCGTCGTTCATCTGGAAATTATATTGTGTAGTTGAAAATCTACTTAGAAAAAAAAAAAAAATGACCCGGATGATGAAGTGCAGTCGGACGTATAATACGACGCTGACGCGACGAACGTTCGCTCGATCCTTGCGAAAATAGAAATTTAACGTAAGCACCTAAACCAATAAATCCGATCACTTTACCGTCGCGATCAATGGGTACTTGATAATATTATTTTGCTTCTAATTCGTTTCAATCATATTATACATATGCAATACTTATACGCAACGACGGCGACGCGTTAATGACAAGCGCATTATTATTATAAGAGATCCGCGAGTGAAAATTTTTTTTAGAATTTTTTTAGAGTGGACACCTTTCTATAGGAGATCGCGCGAAGGCGTGTCCGCGTGATATTAATAATATTATATAATTTTTTTTTTTTTTTTTTTTACACGCATTTTACTGTTAATTATTTATTTATCTATTAACGCGTGCTCGGTGTGTGGATGAACCTATAATAGACCTACCACCCACCTATACCGACCGACTGCGAATATTAAGGCCGGGGATGTACGACGACGGTGACGTGTTTTGATTGGGAAAGGAAAGAGCACAACGCGTCTTCGTTTACCTCCCCCGAAATGACGCCCCTGCGTAAAACCGAAGAGGTACGCCGCAGACGAGACGACCGTCCTCGAATAAAAACGATAACATTACGTCACTATCGAGGCTCGTGCTTTCGACGGTTGTGCCGCTGTCCGAAAACCGGTTCTCTCGTCGTTATAACTATTATCATTATTATTTTTTTTTTCAGACTAATCACTTATGCACATCATGAACGTTTTTATTTTTTATTATCGCGTCATTAAGACGAGCGGCGCATCGAATAACGGACAATATTGCGCGCGTGCACCTGTATACTTGTTCTGATTTTCGAGTGGCTATTCGCTAATTTTCCCGGGGCTCGTGATATTATGGGCGACGACCGTGTTTCATCACAAGAGACCGCGAAGCCGGTAATAATAATATGCGAAAAGTGCTTTGTAATGGTACCTACAATTTTTATTTTTTTTTTTTTCGTAGTTTAGTCTGTGCGTTTAATTTACATCGATACTATACGGTATTCGATTTCTATTATCGGCCGCCGTCTGCGGACGACGAGTGAGCTGATATACAGAGTCTCCTCTCTCGTCGATACGTCGTGCAATAATGAAAATATTTTAGGAGGACGTCCACCGACCCCGTTGAGCACTCGTAGTTAAGGCGTTTCGTATAGGCAATTTTAACGACATTTTCCAACCCCTCCCCCAAAACATACCCCTACTCTCCCCAACATAATAATATTCAAATTTGTTTACAATTTTTGTTTAATCTTTTACCGATTTTCCCAATTTTCCTACCTTTTTCCCGGTTTTTTAAAAAGGAAAAATTTCTGAGAAAAATGACTTCTCTAAAGTACCTCCCTAGTAAAATTTCCTTTTAGAAACATTGCTATTATTAAAAGTTGGAGCAAAGTTTCTGGTAGAAAAAAAAGGCCATAATATATTTTAACTAATACCTACATTTCTTATATTATCCCATTTTATTTCAAATTTGATGAAAAAACTCCTGAGAATATCAAAAATTTACCTGGTTTGGGAAGTACCTAACCTAACCGATTTTCTTTCATAAAAGGTGCTACACTTAGAAATTCGAGCAAGTCTTCTGGTAGAACAGTTATTATCAGACAAGAAAAAAAAAAATACAAATTTTTGTAAAACCATCATAAGCTTCTTCGATCCACTCAGGATCTAAAATTCAAAAATAATGAAAAATCCAAAAGAAAATTGTCAAGTTATGATATTTCAACGGACTTCCAAACTCTCCACTTTCAACTTTAGATGCTTATCCACGGCACGAAGTGTGTCCTGGTATCCTTTTGAATTTGTGCAGATATCGAAAAAAATTAATTGATGACCACGTGGTATCGATTTTTTCTTTTCTACAAAATCACTTTTTTACGTTCTCGCTTCCTCTTAATAAAACTCAGCCGACAGACGGATGTGTTTTTTTTTCTCTCTGAGAAGGCTACCGTCTCATTAAAACACCGGTACAACACGAGTACAGGTATATTATTAAAATATACAAGTGCCCGGCCTCGACTAAGGCGAGTCGTTTATCATAATTTGTACGAGGGGCAAATGGGCACGTCAAAGTAAAGAAAAAAATCAAATAAAACGATACATCGTGTGTACGTGACAATATAATATGTACGTATTATAGTTGCACACCGCAGGAAGCTCATTTTCAACAGTCGGCTGATATACGAAATAATAATTATCAATATAGCCGCGGTACTCGCGGTTAAGTACACGTTTTTGTTTGGACACGCGTTCACTTTATTAATAATATAATAATATTAAAGATTTGGACTCGGTTAATTTATCGATTTTTTTTTTTTTTTTAAATTTGTTATATTACGCTAACAAGCTTTTTGACGCCTTTTGCACCTTCAACCAAACTTCTCTATCAAATATCAATATTCTCTTCATTCTCAACACGGCATCCTTTCTGTATCTTAATCGTTGTCCTATCATCCATTTATCGTGAATTTTTAACGACTCTATAATCCATCCATCTATTACGGAGCCTCCCACTTAAGCGATATTTTTAATTAGTACATTTTGAACAAATCTCCTGTCGACATTTCCAAACACGATTTGCCCACATCAAGGATTTCAATCGCTTTGCCTTATGTTTAGGTTGTTTTATAGTGTTTACGAGTCTTTCACGTTATTTACAGTGTTTTAGTTAACAAATTATATTATGACTAAAATAAATTGAAAAAGAGTTTAATCTTCAGATAACGAAATTAATTACATTTTTTTTAAGCACAAATTTATTTTCTAGAAAATTTAAGGTCTTCACAATACCTCGTGATAACTCTCTCTATATAAATTATGTAATTATATAATTATTATTATTGAACAAATTAAAAATTTTAAAAGGACCATAATTATTTTCATCAGTACAGTATAAGATAGTACCTGCCTCTAATAGTCACGCGTGTGAAATCAAAATTAATAAATTTAAAATGTAATTTGCAACACAGCTGGCCACACTATAATAATAGGCATACACCATATATATATATATATATATATGGCACAATTTTCGAGAACACCAAATTTGAAAATTAGAACACATAATTTTCAACAATAATTTTTTTGAAAACATTGTCATTCCCATATCGTAACTAAATTAGTGGCCTAATTCAGGCGGGACGTTAGGAAATTAGAATGCAAGAAAATTCAGTTTAAATACAAAACAACCGAATGATAAAACATTTCAAACAAAAACAAGATTCTGAGTTGATCTCAGAGTTGTGATTACATCGGAATCGTTTTCTTCAGTATAATTAACAACAAAACCTAGAAATAATAAATAAAACCCTAAATTAAAATGAGAGCAACAAATTGAAAATTAAAATCTGGTTTTAGGTATTGTCACGTACCCCAATTAGTTATAGTTCTTTGTTAAAAAATAACAGTGTATGGTGATTTTTTTGTCGGCTTTTCGTTTTTGTCATCCAAAAAAGTACTTTTTGATTTAATCTCAGAATTGGTTAAATTACTGATGTTTCTTTCCATATATCCGTGTCATTTGTAGTTCTTTTTATCTCTGCATAATATACGTAATCGTGTATATTCCGGTGTAATCGATCACTTGCTTCACGAACGGGCGTCCCCTTTCTTGTTGTCTTTTCATCAATTCTTTCTTCGATTATTATTGCTATTCTTGGGTATAATCCTTTATTAAATTTCCAATTCATTTCTCTCTACTTTGCCTAAGTGTTTTCCATATTGACTTATCTCACGAAGCAATATTTAGCGCTCTCTTATTTTTTCTGTCTGTGAGATTTTCAGAGCCCTTCTTGAGGACCAAGTTTCAAAGCCTTTGGTTTTAG